GGGGGGCTGAAGGTGAAGGGGGGGAAGGTCCTGCCCGCCACAGAGCGGCTCAACCCCCCCGCTCCCCTCGCAGGCCGCGGGCCCCACGCCGTTCCCTCAAGCACCGGCACTCACCGGCACGCTGATGAGAGCGAGATCTCGCGAGGCGCTGGCGGCAGCGCGGCCCCGAAGCCTCGCGAGAGGCGCGCGGAAAGAGAGAGAGAAGCGAGAGCGGCAACGGGAGAGCGGCCCCGCCGCGGGAGGGGGAGGGAGGGCGGGGGGAGCGCGGCCGCTGCCTCAGCGGCGGGAACGGCGGCGGCGCGCGCGGCTCTCGCGAGAGCGCCGGCTGAGTGCGGCTTCAAATCTCGCGAGATTGGAGATCGCCCTCCTCGGCTGGAGGACAAGATCTCGGAAGAGCGCTGCCGGAGGGAAGGGCAAGGTCTCGCGAGAGCTGCCCGGCGGGGCGCGCTAAAGGGGGAGTCACGTGACCTCACCCGGGGCATTTTTCACCAATTGCGGTTTTTTTCTTTTTTTTTTTCCTTTTTTATTCTACAAATACAAAAGGAGGGGGGCGGGGCCGCAGCCTCAGGACACGCCTACAAAACAGGGGCAGCCAATGGGAAGCAGCCCCGCCCCATCAATCAACCTGAAGACACCTAGGGGAGGGGCAAAAAAACCCAGTGGAGACCAATCAAAGATGGCTCCGCCCCTCCCGCAGCTGTGGGGCGGGGCTTGTCCAATCGCCTGAGCTCCTGGAGGCGGGAAACGAGAAAGCCCCGCCCCCAGCCCATCCACAGCCAATGGGAAGGTGGGAACCGTGGTGGGAAGAGCTGGGATGCAGCTCCACCCTTTGTGGGCGTGGTCTGTATCTATGTGGGCGTGGATTATCATAGCCACGCCCGTGTTTTACCCTACATTACCAATGGGCGTGGCTTGGGCCGTGATGGGTGTGGTCTCATCTGAATCCACATTGTGGGTGTGGCCTCAGAGGGGTCAGGTGGAGCAACACCTGAAGGGGTGGAGCCTAAAAAGAGCCACGCCCTTTTAGCCAGCACAACCTTGTTCTGATAGGCACGGCTCCATCAGGCCCCGCCCCTTTCTGCACCAGCCCCGCCCATAGTTCATCGTTCAGCCTGCGGTGGGCGGAGCCTGGCAGGGCGTGGCCGGCCCCGCCCTCAGAGCAGCAGTTTCCCGTTGCGGTGGATTTTGAGGATCCGGCCCAGGCGCTGCTTGGCTGTGGCCAAACCCTTCCGGGGGCGCTTCCCTGCGGGGGGGTCGGGAATGTCACCGGGATTGGGGGGACAGAGCTCAAAGAGACCCCCCGAAACCACCCCAGAACCCTCGAAACCACCCCCGAACCCCCCAAAACCACCCCAGAACCACCCCATAACCTCCCCAAACCACCCCAGAACCCCCAAAACGTGTGCTGTGGGTCTAGAGAGGGCTTTGAGAGGATCTCACCACTCCAACCCCCCCCGGACACCCTAAATCCCCCCTCCACAAAACCCCTCTCCCGCAGTTCCCCCCCCCAGTGCTCCCAGTTCACCTTCTGGGCCAGTTTGGCACCCCCAAAATCCTCCTGAACTCCCCTAAAACCCCCCTGGAACCCCTAAATCCTCCACACAAAGCCCAAATCCCCCTTCCGCAGTTCCCCCCAGTGCTCCCAATTCGGCTGCTGGGCCAGTTTGGCAACCCAAAATCCCCCCCCCCCCTGACAATCCCAACCACCCCCAAAATCACCCCCAAATCCCCCTGAACTCCCCTCAATCATCCCCTGGACCCCCTAAATGCACCCCCAGAACCCCAAACTGCCCCCCCTCAGTGTTCCCAGTTCCTCCCAGTGCTCCCAGTTCACCTGCTGGGCCAGTTTGGCAGCGGCTGCCGCCAGCCCGGTCTCCACCGAGGCCACGCGCGTCCCCTCCCGCACCGGGCGGCTCTGCCGGGGCAGCGACGGCGTCACCCGGGCTGGGGACACCCCAAAATCAGACAGGGAACGGGGGGACACCCCAAAATCAGACAGGGAACGGGGGGACATCCCAAAATCAGACAGGGAACGGGGGGACACCCCAAAATCAGACAGGGAACGGGAGAACACCCCAAAATCAGGGAATAGGGGACACCCCAAAATCAGGGAATGGGGGGACATCCCAAAATCAGACAGGGAATAGGGGACACCCCAAAATCAGACAGGGAACGGGGGGACACCCCAAAATCAGACAGGGAATAGGGGACACCCCAAAATCAGACAGGGAATAGGGGACACCCCAAAATCAGACAGGGAATAGGGGGACATCCCAAAATCAGAGTACAGCAAAGGGGGACACCCCAAAATCAAACAGGGAACGGGGGGACACCCCAAAATCAGATAGGGAATGGGGGGATACCCCAAAATCTGACAGGGAATAGGGGGACATCCCAAAATCAGAGTACAGCAAAGGGGGACACCCCAAAATCAAACAGGGAACGGGGGGACACCCCAAAATCAGACCCCAAACAAGGCAAGGGGGACCCCAAATCAGCCCCTGCCCCAAAGAAGGCGGGACCAGGGATCCCCAGGAACCCCAAATCCAACCCCAGGCTCCTCAAATCCCCCAAACCTCCCCAAACCACCCAGGCCCTGCCCCAGGGACCCCCCCAAAACCCCTCCGAGGACCCCCCCAAACCTTTGGGGCTCCAGGGGGCGTCGTCCGTCACCTTCTTCTTTTTGGGGAGCGATTTCAGGGCGGGGTCGTCCTCGTCCGACTCCAGTGAGGGATAAACTGATGGGGGGGAAAGAAAAATTGGGGTTCAGGGGGGTCCTGGGGGCAGGAAAAGGGGAGTTCAGGAGGATTCCACAACGGCCTGGGAATGGTTTTGGGGTGTTCTGGGGGTAATTTTTGGGGTTTTTGGGGTATTGCTGAGATATTTTGAGTGTTTTGGGGAGTATTTTTGGAGTATTTTCAGATATTTTGGTGTTGTTTTTGGATACATTTAGGGTGTTTTGGGGATATTTGAGGTGTTTTGGGGTATTTTGGGATACTTCTGGGGCATTTTGTGTGTTTTGGGGTGGTTTTGGGGTATTTTTAGGATGGTTTTGGGGTATTTTGGGGTGGTTTTGGGGTCACACACTGTACACAGCATTCTTGAAGCAGGGTGCTTTGGGGGTATTTTGGGGTATTTTTGGGGGTATTTTTAGGATGGTTTTGGGGTATTTTAGGGTGGTTATGGGGTCACACTCACTGTACACAGCATCCTTGAAGCAGGGTGTTTTGGGGGGGATTTTGGGGTATTTTTTGGGGTATTTTTAGGATGGTTTTGGGGTCACACTTACTGTACACAGCATCCTTGAAGCAGGGTGCTTCGGGGGGATTTTGGGGCTGTCTTTGGGGTATTTTTAGGATGGTTTTGGGGTCACACTCCCTGTACTCAGCATCCTTGAAGCAGGGGGCTTCGGGGGGATTTTGGGGCTGTCTTTGGGGTATTTTTAGGATGGTTTTGGGGTCACACTCCCTGTACTCAGCATCCTTGAAGCAGGGGGCTTCGGGGGGATTTTGGGGCTGTCTTTGGGGTATTTTTAGGATGGTTTTGGGGTCACACTCCCTGTACTCAGCATCCTTGAAGCAGGGGGCTTCGGGGGGATTTTGGGGCTGTCTTTGGGGTATTTTTAGGATGGTTTTGGGGTCACACTCACTGTACTCAGCATCCTTGAAGCAGGCCCCCAGGCTGTCCTGCTCGTCCAGGCTCCCCTCAGCCTCGCTGTCGGTGCTCCGGGGGGCAGGGGGGGCTCTGCGGGGTCCCCCAGACCCCCCAGGACCCCCCCTTTCGGTGCCCCCACCCCCTCCCCACCAGTTTGGGGGTCCCAGAGGGGTCCCTGCAGGGAGGTTGGCCATGCAGAGCATGCCCTGGATGGCCTCGCGTGTGCTGGGGGAGGCGGGGGCCTCGCTGTGGAGAAAAAAAGGGGAAAAAATTGGGTTTGGGGGGGGGGTCACGGCATGTTTGGGATCCTCACATTGAGGAGAAACAGCCCCAAAAGGAGATGGACGGGGGTAAAGTGAGCCCAACCACAGAAGTTACTCCCAAAACCCAACCAGGGACCCCAAATAATCCCTAAAACCCAACTAGGGACCCCAGGTAACCCCAAAACCCAACACGGGATCCCAAATAACCCCCAGGGACCCCCCCCCAAACCAAACCCCTGCACCCCCAAAAGCAGCTAGTGACTCCCCCCAAGCCCCCCCAGATATCTGGGGACCCCCAAAATTAGCCCAGTGCTCCCTCAAGCCCCCCAGGACCCCAAAACCCAACACCTGCATTCCCAAAACACTTGGGGGATCCCCCCAAAATCCCCCTCAAATCCCTCCCCCAGCCCTGGGGACCCCCAAATCCAGCTCAGCTCCGGCTCAAAGTCCACCCCAGCCCCCCAGGAACCCCTAAAATCCAGCCCTACAATTGCCCCCCAAAATCCTGCAGGGATCCCTCCCAGACCCCTCAAACCCAGCCCAGCCCCCCCTCAGACCCCCCCAAACCTGAGCTGGGGGTACTCGGAGCCCCCCACTTGCCGGCTGGCCTTGAGCAGGTCCAGGATCCCAGCGCTGCCCCCCGCGCCCCCCTCGTCCTCCTCGTCAGTGGTGTAATCCTCCTGGGGGGAGGGGGTCAGAAACACCCCAAAAAAACACCCAAAACACCCCAAAAACCACCCCAGTCTGTCCCCAAAGAGCCCCCCAAAAACCCCCCCAGACCCACCTCGATGTCGAAGTCGACCTCCCCCGGCTCCCGCACCCGGTTGGGGTCAGAGCAGGGCTTGGCCCGAGGCAGCTTCCGGGGGAGCCCTGGGGACACCCCAAAAACGGGATTGGGGTTTGGGGTCACCCCAAAAACAGGATTGGGGTCACCCCAATAACAGGATTGGGGTCAGACCCTGAAAATGGGGATTGGGGTCACCCCAAAAACAGGACTGGGGCCACCCCAAAAACAGGATTGGGATCAGACGCCGAAAATGGGGACTGGGGTCAGACCCCAAAAATGGGGATTAGGGGTCACCCCAAAACAGAGATTGGGGTCAGACTCTGGAAATGGGGATTGGGGGAACACACCCCAAAGAAGGGGGCTGGGGTCACGCCCCAAAAATGAGGGGTTGGGGTGGGGGGGGTTGAGATCATTTTGGCGTTGTTTCGGGTCAGGTTTGGGGCTAGATTTTGGGATGGTTTGGGGTTTTTGGGGTCAGATTTGCGGCTGATTTTGGGGATGTTTGGGGATGTTTTTGGGGGTAGTTTGGGGATGGTTTTAGGGATGTTTTTGGGGATGTTTGGGGATGGTTTTGGGGGTAGTTTGGGGATGGTTTTGGGGATGTCTGGGGATGTTTTTGGGGATGGTTTTGGGGGTGGTTTGAGAATGTTTTTGGGATGTTTTTGGGATGTTTTTGGGGCTGTTTGGAGATGTTTTTGGGGGTGGTTTGGGGATGGTTTTGGGGGGTACTCGGAGCCCCCCACTTGCCGGCTGGCCTTGAGCAGGTCCAGGATCCCAGCGCTGCCCCCCGCGCCCCCCTCGTCCTCCTCGTCAGTGGTGTAATCCTCCTGGGGGGAGGGGGTCAGAAACACCCCAAAAAAACACCCAAAACACCCCAAAAACCACCCCAGTCTGTCGTGCAACCCTCCTGGGGGGCAGGGAATCAGAAATACCCAAAAATAACCAAAAACCTCCAAAAATATCCTATAATACCCCAAAACAACTCAAAAGTACCCCAAAAACACCCAAAAATACCCCAAAAAACCACCCCAATCTGGGGTGCACCCCTCCTGGGGAGCAGGGGGTCAGAAACGCTCCCCAAACCCCATTTTTGGGGTGCTCCCCAATCCCCACTTTTAGGTTGTCACCACAAAAACCCCCCCAAGAACCGCCCCCAGGACACTCCCAGTTCCCCTGAAGCCCCCCAAAAACCCTCAGAACCCCCCAAATACCCCCATGGATCCCTCCCAAAACCCCCCCAATTCCCTTAACCCCCCCCAAACCCCCAAAGAGCCCCCCAAAAACCCCCCCAGACCCACCTCGATGTCGAAGTCGACCTCCCCCGGCTCCCGCACCCGGTTGGGGTCAGAGCAGGGCTTGGCCCGAGGCAGCTTCCGGGGGAGCCCTGGGGACACCCCAAAAACGGGATTGGGGTTTGGGGTCACCCCAAAAACAGGATTGGGGTCACCCCAATAACAGGATTGGGGTCAGACCCTGAAAATGGGGATTGGGGTCACCCCAAAAACAGGACTGGGGCCACCCCAAAAACAGGATTGGGATCAGACGCCGAAAATGGGGACTGGGGTCAGACCCCAAAAATGGGGATTAGGGGTCACCCCAAAACAGAGATTGGGGTCAGACTCTGGAAATGGGGATTGGGGGAACACACCCCAAAGAAGGGGGCTGGGGTCACGCCCCAAAAATGAGGGGTTGGGGTGGGGGGGGTTGAGATCATTTTGGCGTTGTTTCGGGTCAGGTTTGGGGCTAGATTTTGGGATGGTTTGGGGTTTTTGGGGTCAGATTTGCGGCTGATTTTGGGGATGTTTGGGGATGTTTTTGGGGGTAGTTTGGGGATGGTTTTAGGGATGTTTTTGGGGATGTTTGGGGATGGTTTTGGGGGTAGTTTGGGGATGGTTTTGGGGATGTCTGGGGATGTTTTTGGGGGTAGTTTGGGGATGTTTTTGGGGATGTTTGGGGATGTTTTTGGGATACCCACGGGGCAGGCGGCGCGGGCCCCGCCGCGGGGGGGTCTCGTCGATCTGCAGCTCCTCCTCCGAGTCCAGGTCCAGGGGAGAGCTGGGGGGGGAGCAGGGGTCGGGGGGGACTGGGGGGGGGTTCGGGGTCCCCCCATCGTCAGGGGGGCGGGAGTTGGGGGGGGGCTTGCGGAGCCCCCCCTTTTTGGGGGCTGGAACGCCCCAGGGGGGCCCAAAGGGGGTCCCCGACATCCCCGTGCTCTGCTGGAACAGTTCCTGTGGGGAGGGGATACAGAGCTCCCAATATGTCCCAGTATCACCCAGTATGATCCAGTTCCTCCCAGTAACCCCAAAACCTCCTCAGAACCCCTCCCAGTGGCCGCCCAATTCCTTCCAGTCCCTCCCCAGTTGCTCCCAGTCCCTTCCCAGTGCACTTCAAATCCCTCCCAGTGCCCCCCCCATTCCATCCCAGCCCCCCCCAGTCCCTCCCAGTACCCACCTAATTCCCCACCACCCCCCCCAGTCACTCCCAGTCCCTCCCAGTGCTCCCAGTTCTCCCAGTTCACCTCTGCCAACCGGATCTCCCTGCCCAGTTCCTTGATCAGCTGCCCCGGCCGGACGGTCTCGGGGATCTCCTGCTCATGCTCTGCCAGAACCTGGGGAGGAAAGGGTTAAAATGAGGGCGAAAGGGTTAAAATGGGGGAGACCCCAAACCTGAGGAACCCCAAAACCTCCCCCCAAAACCTCCCACCCCTCCAGAGCCCCCCAAAATCCCTTGGAACCCCCCCAAAATAGCTTTGAGCACCCCCCAAACCACTCAGGACCCTCCCAAAATCCTTTTGGACAACCCCCAAAACCCCTCGGGACCCCCCAAAATCCATCTGGAGCCCCCCAGAATCCATCTGGAGACCCCAAAATCCCTCAGGACCCTCCCAAAGTCCAAAACCCCTCGGGACCATCCCAGAACCCATCTGGAGTCCCCCAAAACCCCTTGGGACCCTCCCAAATCGCCCTGGAGCCCCCCGTAATCCCTCTAGACCCCCCCAAAACCCTTCAGGATCCCCCCCAAAACCACTCTGGACCCCCCCAAACCTCTCGGCGGGTCCAGGCTCGGAAGGCCCCGGTCAGGGCTCGGGCTCCCAGCACCAAATAGGCAGCGGGGTGCCGACGGTTCTCTCGCAGCCCTGCACCCCAAAAATCCCAAAAAACCCACATTGGGATGGGAACCACCAAACCAGTGTGGGAACCACAGGGACACCCCAAAATCAGGATGTGAAACTCAGTGACAACCTCAAAAATTGAGGATGGGACCCACCAGATCCTTCTTGGGGGGATCTCCAACTCCCCCAGATGGGTTTAGAACCCCCACACACAGATTTAAACCCCCCGCCCAATAAGTTTCAAGCCCCCCCAGGTGGGTTTGCAGCCCCCCCAAGCCCTCTCAGTTTGGTTTAAGCCCCTCCAGTTGGGTTTAAAGCCTCCCCAGATGGGTTCAAAGCCCCCTAAGTTCAGTTTAAAGGTCCCAGGATGGGTTTAGAACACCCCCCCAGATGACTTTACACAGGTTTAAACCCTTCCCCGTGGCTTCCCAGCCCCCCCAGTTGGGTTTAGAGCCCCCACAGATGAGTTCAAACCTCTCCCAGTTGGGTTTAAAGACCCCTAGATGTGTCTAGAGCCCCCCCAGGTGGGTTTAAACCCCCCCAGGTGGGTTCCCAGCCCCCCCAGACAGGTTTTAACCCTCCCCAGGTGGGTTTAAACCCCCCCCCAAGGTGGGTTCCCAGCCCCCCCAGACAGGTTTTAACCCTCCCCAGGTGGGTTTAAACCCCCCCAGGTGGGTCCCCAGCCCCCCAGGAGGGGCACCCACCTCGGAAGGTGTCCAGCAGGTGCCTCCCCACGTACCAGCAGATGGTCTCAAAATTGGGGAACTTGGCCAGGTCAGGGGTGTTGAGGCGACGCTGCAGCTCATACGCCCTGGGGAATTTTTGGGGGGTCAGGGGGGGCTTTGGGGAGGGGTGTCTGGGGGATCCACAGGCACCCCACAACACCTGCTGGGCTGAGGGCACCCTGAAATTCTCCCTGCATCCCAAAACTCTCACCCAACACCAAAAACACCCCTAAAACCCTTCCAAAACCCCCAAACCCTCAACCAGCCCCCCCCCCAAACTCTCCCCAAAAACATCCCCAAACACCCTCAAAACCTGATCAAAACCCCCCAAACCCTCCCAAAAGCCCCCTCCCCAACCCACCGGAGCTGCATGCCGATGTTGAGGCTGTGCAGGAAGTGCCCCCCGAAGGCCAGAGAGTCCACGGGGGTCAGCACAGCGTGGATCCAGCCTGGGGACAGACACGGGGAACTGGGAGCACTGGGGCAGGCACAGGGAACCGGGGCAGGCACGAGCAGCTGGGGCAACTGGAGAACTGGGAGGGGCCACTGGGGGAAATGGGAAGGGCACTGGGAGCACTGGGAGCTGCAGGAGAGCACCGGGATCCATTGGAAAAGGAGAGGCTGGTTGGCTGGGGTTACTGGGAGCCCTCGTCTGACCCCCACCAGGAAACACTAGGGGGTCCCCAAGGTCACCAAACCCTCCCCTGGTGACACAAGTGACACTGGGGTATGTTTGGGGGTGGTCTGGCCCTAGCCCGGTGACACAGGTCACCTAACCACCTAGCACAGGTGACAACGGGGCTGCGTTTGGGGTCTGGCACAGGTGGCACAGGTGACACTGGGGGGTCTCTGTCCCTTGCACAGGTGACACTGGGAGCGTCTGTGCCTTACACAGGTGACACTGCAGGTGCACTTGGGGCCTGGCACAGGTGGCACAGATGGCACTGAAGGTGTCTGTGCGTTACACAGGTGACACTGCAGGTGCACTTGGGGTCTGGCACAGGTGGCACAGATGGCACTGAAGGTGTCTGTGCCTTACACAGGTGACACTGCAGGTGCACTTGGGGCCTGGCACAGGTGGCACCGAGGTTGTGCCCAGCTGTCCCCGAGCCACCCCCTCACCTGTGGGGATGAAGAGGGTCTGTCCCTGGCGCAGGTGGCACCGGAAGCACCGATCCACCTGGTCCCCGAAGAAGAGCTCGGGCTGGTTCCGGGAGCTGCTCCAGGCCTCGAACAGCGCCAGGTTGGCGGCCGAGGGACGCGCCAGGTAAAAGATCTGCTCACCCTGGGGCACAGGTGAGGGGGGGGCACGTGGGACAGGTAAGAGCACCAGGTTTCATTCCCCCAAATGGCATCTGAAATCCCCCAAATCCCCTCTACAATCCCCTAAAACCCCTTCCCAGACCTCTGGAGAAGCCCCACTTTGTACCCTGAGCACGAGGTACCAGGCCGAGGTGCCCCCTCAGTCACCATTAAAGTCCTTATAACCACACAACCCCAACCTCAATTACCCCAAAAAACTCCCAAATCTTCTCTAAAAACCCTCTAAAACCACCCCCCAGACTCCTGGAGAACCCCACCTTGTACCCTGAGCATGTGGTACCAAGCTGAGGTCCCCTGCAGTCGATGTGAAAGTCACTGTAACCACACACCCCAGCCCTAATTTCCCTGTAACTCCCCCCAAGTCCCCTATAAACCCCCCCAAAATCCCTTACAAACCCCCCTCGTACCCTGAGCACGTGGTACCAGGCCGAGGTGCCCCCGCAGTCGATGTGGAAGTCGCTGTAGCTGTCCTTGGCCCCCATCAGGCAGAATTTCTGCACGCTCGGCCGCTCCCGCGCCGACTCCCCCGGCCACAGGTTCTCCACCCACGAGAGCTTCCGCACGATCCGCGGGGTCTGCACCAGGTTCGACAGCCTGGGCACCCCAAAAAACAGGGGTCAGGAAGTGGGGAACCCCCCATGGGGCACGGGGTACCCCAGGCATGAAAGGATGTAGTGGTGGATGCCAGGGATCCAGTGGCAGGATCGGGGATTTTGGGGGTCCTTGGAGGGCAAGATCTGGGATTTTGGGTGTTCCTGTGGTCGGAGGAGGGAAGGGGGAGGATCTGGATTTTCAGGGTCCCTGGGGTTGGAGGAGGAGGGAAGGGGGAGGATCTGGGATTTTGGGGGTCCCTGGGGTTAGGCAAGGAGAAGGATCCAGGATTTTGAGCGTCCCTGATGTTGGAGGAGGAGGAGGCACTGGGAGCACTGGAAAGAACTGGGAGTTACTGGGAGCACTGTGAAGGACCAGGCAGCACTGGAAAGAACTGGGAATTACTGGGAGCACTGGGAAGGGACTAGGCAGGGCTGGGAGCCACTGGGAGCACTGGGACCCACCGCGTGTCTGAGAACTCCAGGCCGGTGACGCTGAGGACGCGCTCGCGCCGGGGTCCCCCCAGGTAGGCCACGAAGTCCCCGAGGCGCATGCGCAGCTCGGCCTGGCGGCCCACGTCCAGCACGGCCACCACTTTGTCAGCTCCTGAGGGCCCCCAAACTGCCTGAGCACCCCAAAAACGGCCAGGGAGACCCCCAAAACCTCTCTGTGTGCCCCAAAACTGCCTGAGCATCACAAAACCCCCCAAACCTCCCAGTGCACCCCAAAACTGCCTGAGTATTACAAAAACGGCTGAGAGACACTAAACTCCCCCCCCAACCTCCCCGTGGATCCCCAGACCTCCCTAAGCACCCCAAAACCAGCTGGGGGCCCCCAAAAATCCCCCCAAACCTTCCTGAGAACCCCCAAACCTGAATAGGGACCCTCTGGGCCCTCACCCATCCCCCCAGGACCCCTCAATACAGTGTAAGAAGCCAACAAGGGGGTGTAGTTATAGGGGGGACCCTGACCCTACTGTGGGGTCCTGGGTATCCCCTGACATCCCCAGACCCCCCAAACACCCCCATGCACCCCATACCATGAATGGGGGCCCTCTAGACCCTCACCTGTACGCCCAGGACCCCCCAGTAGAGTGCAAAGAGTGAACTTGTAAGGAGGATCCTGCTCCTATTATGGGGTCTTGGGGACCCCCCGATACTCCCAGCCCCTCCAAAAGCCCCCCAGGCCCCCCAAAGCCCCTGACCAACGTGGTGCAGGACGTCGCGGGGGGTGAAGGACGGGGGGGGCAGGGTCATGCCCAGCCCCTCGTGCCGTGCCACCAGGATGGGCACGCTGAAGCTGTTCTCCTCCAGGTACTCCACGGTCAGCTGGGCCCCGCTGGGCCGCAGCAGCACCTCGTCCGCACTTGGGGGGCAAAGCAGGGGGGTGAGACACGCAGGAGTGACTCCAGACCCCCTGAACCCCACAGGGACCCCCCCAACCACCACAGGGATCACCTAACTCCCGCAGGGATCACCCAACCCCTGAGCATTTGCTGGGCCACAGCACACCTCGTCCGCACTGGGGGCGTACAGCAGGGGGGTGAGACCCCCAGGAGTGACCCCAGACCCCCTGAACCCCACAGGGACACCCCCCAACTCCCACAGGGATCACCCAACCCCTGACCATTTGCTGGGCCACAGCAGCACCTGGTCCATGCTGGGGGCGCAGAGCAGAGCAGTGAGACCCCCGAGAGTGACCGACACTCCCCAGGAGTGACCAACATCACTCAGGACTGACCAACACCCTCCAGAACTGACCTTCGCCTGTGCGAGGGGTACAGCCGGACTGACCCTCACTGAGAGTGCCCAACACCTGGCACCGACCTTCACCTGGCACTGACCCTCACCTGGCACTGACCCACACCCAGCCCTGCCCTCACCTGGGGAAGGTGCGGCCCCGCAGCTCCCGGATGAACTGGGCACTGCCGGTCCGGGCCGGACGGCCGGGGTCCTGCTCCGGGGCCTTGGCCGGGCCACGGCGCCGCTTCACTGCGGGACAGGGGGACACGGTGGGGACAGAGGGACACGTGGGGATGCACAGGGACAGAGGGACACGTGGGGATGCACAGGGACAGAGGGACACGTGGGGACAGAGGGACACACAGGGACACAGTGGGGACATGGACACACAAGGACATGGACACATGGGGACACACAAGGAATCGGGGATCCACGGGGAGCCCAGAGCATCTCCCCCGCCCCCATCCCAGTGCATCCCAGTCCTTCCCAGTCCCACTCACTGGCACTCTCAGTGCCCCCCATCCCAGTCCCTCCCAGTCCCTCCCAGTCCCACTCACTGACGGAAGGCCCCCTGAGCACGGCGCACTGGGGGCAGTGGTACAGGTCGATCTCCGCCGCCGCCTCCTCCTCCACCCCCACGCAGCTGTGGGGACACCCCAGTAACTCCCAGTGCCTCCCAATAACCACCAAGCACCTTCCCAGTAACCCCCAGCCACCTCCCCACTAACCCCAATCACATCCCAGAATTATCTTTGTACTTCCCCGTCCCTCCCAGACCTTCCCAGTACCCCGTAGCCCCCGCCAGAATTCTTCCAGTGCTCTCCAGTACCACCCAGGCTTCTCCCAGTCCTTCCCAGTACACCCCTTAAGTCCCTTTCAGTACCCCTGGACTTCTCCCAGTCCCCTCCAGATGCCTCCCAGTCCTCCCCCAGTGCCTCCCAGATGCCTCCCACTACTCCCAGTCCCCCCCCAGCCCCATCCCAGTGCCCCCAGTCGCACCTGCCATGGAACCAGTCCTGACAGCCATCGCACTCGATCATGAAGCGGGTCACATCGTAGGGCAGGCGGCACAGGCAGTACACGGGCACCGAGGCCATGGCCGGGCCCCCGGGGCGACCCCCGACCCTACGGACCCCCGCGACCCCCCCCGGCCCGGGACATCCGCGTGCTGCCCGCCAGACCCCCGAAAATCCCCTCCAAAGAAAAAACCAACCCAGAAAAACACTCTCAAGAACACACCAAAAGCAACCTCAAAAAAAAACCCCACCAAAACAGCCTCAAAAACACCCAGAAACAGCTTCAGCAAAACCCCAAAATCAGGCTCAAAAAACACCCCAAAAATACCCCCCAAACAACTCCCTCAAAAAAAAACCACTCAAAAAAAAAACCCAAAAACCAACCCCTAGGCTGCTCCCCTACAAACACCCCCAAAGCCCCCCCAAAACGCGGCCTGTGGAGGACCCTGAGGGGAACTGAGGGGCACGACCCCCCAAAAAACCCTATACGGGCCGGGGGCACCCCAAAAGGGCCTGCAGAGACTTGGGATCCCCCTCAGGTATTGATGAGGGCCTAAGACCTCCCCCAAAAGGGTCTAGAGGTGTAGGGAAACCCCTCCAAGGGTCGCCAGGGCTCTGGGACCCCCTCCCCGAGGCTTTATACGGCCCAGAGCCCCCCAAAAATGCACCCACAGGGTCTCCCCCGCCCCTATAGCGTGTGGGAACCCCCAAAAGCGCCGCCGGGCCCGGGGTCCCCTCACAGCGTCCGTGGGGTCTCGGCCGCCCCCTCCCCCCGCGCTGTGGGGTCGCCGGGACGCCCCCAAAGACCCCCGGGACCCCTTAAAAGCTTTGGGGATCCCCAAAAAGCCGCCGACACCTCCTCAAGGCCGGCGGGATCCCCCCCGAGGCCTGCGGGATACCGCGAGGCCTGCGCCCCCCCCACCGCCACCTCCCGACTAGGCCGCAGCCCGCCCCGGCAAGGCCCAGCGCTTCTCGCGGCCGCTCCTCCGCCGCCGCCAGGTCGCCGCCGCCGCTGCCGGCCCCGGGCCCGGTGCTGCCGCCGCCGCCGCGGCCTCCGCGCGCTCCGGGCCGCCCGGGAAAGTTTTATTCAAACGCGGAAACGGGGAGGGAGAGGGCGGGGCCCCGGCGCCATTTTGGCCGCGTCGAGCCGCCATCTTGGGAAGGGCGAGGACGCCATTTTGGGAAGGACGAAACGCCCCCATTGGGTGTGCGGGGGCGGGGCCGCCATCTTGGGCGTGGCGCCGCCGTCGCCAGCTTGAGTATGGCGACCCGGCCGCCATTTTGGGAGTGGCGCGCACCAGCCACGCTTTTATTTCTTAAATTTTAGGATTTTTTTTTTTTTCTCGCGCTTTTTAACAATTTCCCCGCAAAACAAACGCCTTCCCACCCTCTCGAACCAGAACACCCGAGAATTCACCCCGAAACCTCGCTCGCTTGGTGAAGGGGTGAGGTAGATGAGCGGAAAACACGACAAAATGACCCAAAAATTGGGGTGAGGGAGGGGTACAGGAATGAGAGGGGGTTGTTGCACCAGTATGACCAGTATAGGGGGGGTGGGTCACCAGTAAAACCAGTACAGCCTGCTCTCCTCCACTGTGGTCACATGACAGGGAATTCCATGCCTGTAAGGGGCTTTTGGTGAAAAATGGAAATTTTGGGGGCTCTGGAGTGTATTGAGGGGGGGAAAGGGAATTTTGGGATAAATGAGAGGTTTGGGTTCAACCGTTTGTGTTTTGGGGCAAAATGAGGCTGTTTGGGAGCTAAAAATTGGGATCACTTCGTGTGGGGGACAAAAAGAGCGGCAAGGGCCAAAAAAGGGATTTTTGTGTGAAATTTGGAGATTTTGGGGCTGAAAATAGGGTCTCCTGAGGGAGAAGGGAAGGCTCTGAAAGAGATTTTTTTGGGGTGAAATGATGCAATTTGGGGAGCAAAAAGTGGGATAATGTTGTGGGAGGGTTGGAAAAGGGGAGATAGGCTGAAAAAGGGGTTTTGGGTTAAAACAAGGCAATTTTGGGGCAAACAAGTGTCATCACATTCAGGGGGTGTGAAAAAGAGGGGCAGAAAGGCCACAAAAAAAAGATTTTTGGGGTGAAATGAGGTGATTTGGGGGCTAAAAAATGGGGTCACCTCATGCAGAGGGGGAATGGCCCAAAAAGAGAATTTGGGGGTAAAATGAGGGATTTGGGGCAGAAAATTGGGGTGGGCAAGGCACAAAAAAGGGGAGTTTTGAAGTGAAATGAGGGGAGTTTGGGCACCAGAAAGTGGGGTAATCTTGCAAAGGGGGAATAACCCAAAAAAGGTGGGGGTTGGGATAAAATAGAAAGATTTTGGGGCCAAAAAGGGTGGGGGGGGGGAGGATTTGGGGTCAAAATGAGGAGCTTTTGGGGCCAGAAACTGGGGGGGTCGAGTATCCTATAAACGGGATTTTGGGGGTGAATTGAGACCAGAAAGTGGGTTCAGCCCACACGGGCAGCAAATAAAGGGGAATTTTAGGGCAAAATAAGGCATTTTTGGGGCCAGAAACAGGGGTTACACCACAGAACCCAAACAAAGGGGAATTTCAGAGTGAAACAAGGTCATTTTTGGGCTGGAAATTTGGGGTCACCCAATGGGGGGGGGTTATAAAAGGGGGTTTTGGGGTGAAACAAAGCCATTCAGGGGCTGGAAATCGGGATTTTGACCCAAAATCAGGGGGTTTGGGGGGGGCAGGGTGTCGGGACCCCCCTTTACTCAGCCCCCGGGGGGAGGGGGCTGCCCCCCCCACGCAGGGCAGGTTTGGGGGGGGGCAGCTCCCCCCATTTTCGGGGGGTCCCACGGGTGCCGCGCAGGGTGGAGACCCACGAGGAGGTGGCCTGGGGGAGGAAGGAGGAGCTGAGGCCTCTGCAGGTAGGGGAGGGGAATTTGGAAAAGGGGGACCCACCTGCACCCCAAAACCTCCCCTCGCACCCTAAAACCTCTTTTTACCCCAAAGCCTGCACCGCCAAAATCCCTCCCTGCACCCCAAAACTTCCCCTTTTTACCCCAATCCCCTTCCCCCACCCTAAAATCCCCCCTTTGCACCCCAGAATCCTCTCTTTGCACCCCAAACCCCCTTTTGCATCCCAAAAATCCCCCTTTGTACTCCAAAATCCCCTTCCTGTGGCACCCCAAAATCCCTCCCTGCAACCCAAAACCTCTTTTTTACCCCAACCCCTTCCCCCACCCCAAAATCCCCCCATTTGTACCCCAAAATCCCCTCCTAGCCCCCCAAATTCACCCTTTTCACCTCAAAATCCCCCCCCCCCCAAAATCCTCCCCCATGCAGAGCAGGCTTGGGGGGGGGCAGCTCCCCCCATTTTCGGGGGGTCCCACGGGTGCCGCGCAGGGTGGAGACCCACGAGGAGGTGGCCTGGGGGAGGAAGGAGGGAAAAATGGGGGTTCAGCTTTTGGGGACCCCCAAAAAACCCTCTCAGCTTCCCACCCACCCCCAGACCCCCAAAAATGGGGAGCAGTCCCCCCCAGCCCCCCAGTAACCATCTCAGGCCCCCAAAAAATTCCCCTAGATCCCTAAAACTGGGATAAAGAGCCCCTCCAGCCCCCCAAAAAGGGGTGCAGGCCTCCCCACCAAATGATCCCTCCAGACCCCCCTAAAATGGGGTGGGGAGCCATTCCAGCCCCCCAAAAGTCCCCCCGCCCCCCCACCTGGGCCCTGGCCGTGTCCTGGACCCACTCATCCACCAGCCGGTGCAGGTCGTCGGTGAAGAGCCCCTTTTTTGGGGGGGCCGGGGGCGTCGGGTCCCCTCTAAAGGACAGACAAATCCCCTCCTAGCCCCCCAAATCCACCCTTTGCACCTCAAAATCCCCGCACCCCAAAATCCCCTCCTAGCCCCCCAAACCTGTCAAGGCCACGCCCCGGCCCCGCCCACGCGCCCGGGCCCCCCGAGGCCGCCGCGGGGACCCCCCGAGGCCGCGCTGGGGTGGGGTCCCGCCACCCCCTCCCCATTTTGGGGGGTCCCCCCGGGCCTCTTTGAGGGCTCGGAGCCGATGGTGCAGCTCCCGCAGCTCCCGGTCCTGCCGCGCCCGCAGCTCCAGAACCTCCTGGATGTGCCTGAGGGGGCAGGGGGGGTCACAGGGGGTCCCCAAAAACCTTCCCGAGACCCCCGAAACCTCCCCCGAACCCCCAAAACCCTCTCTGAGACCCCCAAAACTCTCCCAGAACCCCCAAACCCTCCCCGGGACCCCCAAAACCACCCCAGGGTCCCAGTCATGCCACACTGGCAGTTCAAGCGTCTCCGGGAAGTGCCTGGGTGAGGTCAGGGGGTGCCCCTAAGCCCCTCCAAGACCCCTTGGGACCCCCAAATCTCCTCAGGACCCCCCAAACCACCCCCCAAAAGCCCTCACTCACTTCTCTCGCAGCCGCCGCAGCTGCTCCCGCAGCGCCTCGTCCTCAGGCTCCGAGTCCCCATCGCTGCTCAGGGGGGTCTCGGGGGACCCCGGGGGGAGCAGGGGGGCCCCGGGGGGGTGCGGGGGTCCCCCCAGTCCCCCGCTCTCGCTGCCTGAGCTGGGGCCCCCCCAGTCGCCCTCGGGGTCGGGGGGCTCAGGGGGTGGCTGGGTGGGACAGTTTGGGGGTCTCTGGTGTTGTTCTGGGGTCCCTGGGGCAGATCTGGGGTCTCTGGGGTGGTTTGGGGGTCTCTGGGACAGACTTGGGGGTCTCTGGGGTAGTTTTGGGGATCTCCAAGGCCGTTTGGGGGGGTCCCTGGGGCAGTTTGGAGGTCCCTTGGGACAGTTTGGGGGTCTCTGGTGTTGTTCTGGGGTCCCTGGGGCAGATCTGGGGTCTCTGGGGTGGTTTGGGGGTCTCTGGGACAGACTTGGGGGTCTCTGGGGTAGTTTTGGGGATCTCCAAGGCCGTTTGGGGGGGTCCCTGGGGCAGTTTGGAGGTCCCTTGGGACAGTTTGGGGGTCTCTGGTGTTGTTCTAGGGTCTCTAGGGCAGATTTGGGGTCTCTGGGGTGGTTTGGGGGTCCCTGGGACAGACTTGGGGGTCTCTGGGGTAGTTTTGGGGATCTCCAAGGCCGTTTCGGGGGGCCCTGGGGAAGTTGGGAGGTCCCTTGGGACAGTTTGGGGGTCTCTGGTGTTGTTCTAGGGTCTCTAGGGCAGATTTGGGGTCTCTGGGGTGGTTTGGGGGTCCCTGGGATAACTCTGGGGTCTCTTGGGGTAGTTCTGAAGTCTCTGGGGCAGTTTTGGGGGGGTTCCTGTGGCAGTTTTAGGGTTCTTGGGGCACTTTGGGGTCCCCAACACCCACCTGGCAGTGCCCTCGCCTTGGGGGGTCCCCGAGTTCCTCTGGCTCCTCTGTGGGACAGGGGGGTCAGTGGCGGGGGGGCACAGGGGGTAAATGGGGGTACAGGGGGATATGGGGGTGGAAATGGGGGGTGGAAGGGCAAA